TGAACGTGGAAATTACACAGTATAAAATGCTGAACCTAGGGTTGAGGCTATAAGCAAATATTTTGGGCTTACCCCTATCGTTCAGTATTCTTATTAAGCTTGGAGGGGTCCTAAAGCGTGTGCGCTGATTTCAAACTAACTTGAAAGATGTTGAACTTATTGTGGTCAAGCCTGGACACTTTCCGTGAAAGGTAAGGTGTGCTAATGATTTGTTCATGATCCTTGACGCTTCTTTGAATATCTTAATTGTTTTGAAAGGAAGTTTTGTTCAAAGTTGAATTCAACTTTGAACAACTGTGTGAATTTTCCGTTCTCACAAAATAGCATATTCAGGCCAAATATAGGGTTGATGACTGTATGATTTATTTTATTGTTTGACTGCCCTAGCTGAGACCCACAGTTTAAAAGAGAATCTGTTGGTAAAAAGTCTCTCCTCAGATTTACGTTTCTCCAAGAAACAAGTCTGTTACTGAGGGCCACCCAGCAAACTTCAGCTGCAAAGCCACAGGTGTTCCCAAGCCAACATTGTCCTGGACATTTAATGATGGGGACCTCCCATCAGGTGTCAATCAAAACAGTCTTGGTGAAGGATCATTTCTGGAGTTGCCTTACACTACAAAGCAAATGGAAGGCATCTACAAGTGTACAGCGGAAAACAAAGCTAACCCAACAACTTCCTCTGCTTATCTTCTTGTTTTTGGTATGGATAGAATAATACATAGTATACTATAATAAACATCATCACAGTTATGAATACAACTTAAACCGTTTCTGAGAGCTGCAAACATAAAGCCTGAAGAAAGTCCGGTTTTAAAGGGATTTGAAACCTTGACCTCCTAAGAGTTGTTTAGTACTCTCACCATAAAGACAACTACATTTGGGAACTTTTGCCACATTTGAACCTCACGTATGATCTCCAGCTTCCTGCTATCTTGAATTCTAATAATTTTCTCTTGAATATGTTTAACTCGTATCTTGAGATGGGCTCAACTGTATATACATGTCAACATTTCTACCCATCTCCAGAGGCAAATATTTGTAACATGTGTATACCGTAAATCCTTGAATTAGCGCCCCCCTCGAGTAAGCACCCCTTCGAATAAACGCCCTTCCTATCAGCCAAACTTTGAAATAAGCATCCCCCTCGAATAAGGACCCCCTTCACCTCTGCCCATTTTGTGGACGAGTACCGAGCCAACAAAAGATATATAGTTTTCGTCATGTAGTATTAGATTTGTACATTGTTTCAGTTTCAGAACACGTTTAAAAGTNGGAAGACTAGTCAAAAAACCAATCAGACTAGACCTGTAACAAGTTGTTCTGGAGCAAAGGACAGTTCTTGGAACATGAACAATGATAGACACTGATTGATTAATGTTGAGTTGATTGTTCCTTTATCTTATTTTATCTTATTTTATTTTATTCTTCTCATTTGTTTCTGTGATTGTGATGTAAAGGAGGGGATGTTATATATGAGAATACCGCTGACCATTACGCATAGTTGTGCAAGTGTTGAGTTATTGTTTAACCAATGACAATAAACAACGTGGTCGGAATTGAGACCCAAAATGGTGTCGGTGTCATGAAAATGTAACAGTATGCGTTTTGAGAAACCGAGGAGCTTCTTGAAATCGACAATCTCATTGATTAGGTCACGAGCCCGGCCCATGACCGGCTCCTGATTAGGTACAGGCCAGAAGTTGTGTCATGTCACTCAAGGATTTGTGGAAATTACCCACACGGGCAAATTGGAATAAATTCATTCAAGTCCATGAATTTACTGGAGGATTCAGAGCAGTTCTTCCCTGTGGGTTGAGGCCCGTGAAAAAGTTTTTGATGAACAGGGAACTAGAAACTCTCCCCAATGATAACAGCCCATATTCCGGTCCATGACTCGCACTCTTCGACTTGAACTTTAAAATCATTCTGACCAGATAAAAAGCAACACGTGAGTCCTTGTGTTGAAAGTTTTCATCAAGAAAGACGTCGAGGTAAGCAAATACTTTAGGAGTAATAAATAAATAATTTCCATGTTTTTAACGCTCACACCCTCAGGGACTAGCCAGAAGCAAGGTAGCCCCGTTCTAGCCCTCTCCATGTCACGCAATGTCGAGATAGATGGTCCCTCTCTCTCGGCTCTCCCCCGACGTTTCGTGACAGAAAAAGGGCCAGAACTGGACTAGAAGCAAGGAAAAAAAATTGAAGCGCTCAAGAATTGCACCATTGTTGCGCACAACATTTGCTTAATTACGTTTGGCCACCTTGTTGCTACATCCAACAACTTACAGGATATGTTTTCGAATTATTTCTTGCATGTTAACTTATTTGAACTGAAAAGTTTGCTAGACCAGGGTCGAAGACAAGGCTCGTAAACTCAATGAGGAAGTAGTAGATGGTACAAAATGATCCATACGACTACGTGATAAAGTGTAGGTAGCACTAACTTTTTCATAAGTGTAAAACATATTGTAGGCTAAAGATATAACAACATACTATTGGCTACAAAAAGAAATATCCATCATGCTTCAGTGCTAAATAGCAATGAAAACCAACCTTGGTTTGCAAAAAGACAATTTACATCAGGAGTAAGTTTTTTTCTCACCCCCACCCCAGCGTTGTCAATGCAATTCAACTCTTTTCTCTTCCTTTCTCGCCCTGCAAGTTGATCATGAAACTGATACTGACGTCTCTTTTCCCACCCCGATCAATGGTGCTGAATGCAAAGCATGTACTGGACGAAGCTTCAAAGGAAAGCGTTGATAGCTGAATATCACATAATTTCAAAAAGCTCCATTATCTTCTACAGATTTAACGCATCTACCCAGTCCGTCTCGTACTCACTGCGCTCTAGCACCGTGGAATGCACCGTAAAGCCCTAGTCAGCGTTATTATTTGAGGAAACCGAACAGTGCGTTTTAGTCGTCCCGAGTATCCTTGTAACTGAAGATTTGAATTGCTTCTGGGAGGAGTTATTTAAGTGCAAAGGAAATCTTAGAGCAACTGGTGGGAAAAGAATTTGAACGCTTCAAACACTCCGTCACTTCCGGTAATACCGGACTTTTTATGGTTTTTGATACCGTTGTTTAATTTCGCTGTGTGAGAAAGATAGTGGAAGTTGAGGAAGTGCTATGCTCGTTCGCGCCGCAGTATTGAAAAACAAACACGACATCGTTTATTTATTGTGTCTGTGGACGTCCTCAGCAACATAATCTGATTCTTCCGAAATAAGTGCGTTGTTTATTTTCGTGGGAACAGCTGCTTCTTTCAGGCTATTGGTAGCGAGGGCGCAAGGCTTTTATTAAATCGATAATAGAATTAATTTTCATCGTTCGCATTTGTATGATTAATGCCGCCTTTTAAATTTACTCCCCTTTTTTTTTGAGCAGGTAAACTGGTCAATGCTCTACAAATAAAAGAAATTCTCCTACATCATAACAGATTCTTTTCAGACAGGAACTGACATTATTTGAGCCAACGGTTTTACACGTGTTTGGTTTGTAGCATCAGCGAAGTATATCACGCGTGACACAAAGCAGGGAGAGTTAGGGTGTTATTAAGTTTGGTTCTACCTATGTCTTTTTGCTATTACAGGCAATTTCTAAGTTAAATACTATTTTTAAACCGTTTCAAACATTGAAAACATTAATCTGCTTTGCTTGTGCTGTCTCAAGCGAACAAAAGATTTTTACCTAGTTTGGAGGCCCCATTAGGGGTTTTAGGGATACGGGATATTTGCGAAAAAAATTACAGGGATACGGGATATTTCGGGGAAAAATTATAGGGATACGGGATATTTAGAAAAGAGATAGTGGGATATCGAACGTCAAAGTTTTCTTTTTTGACTGAGTGAATTAATGGGATACGGGATATTTGGGACAATAATTAATGGGATACGGGATATTCAGACCCTCCCCCCTAATGGGGCCTCAGTTTGGCGTGTTGCGTTACATTGCAAATTTCAAAGGGGATGAATTACTATTTTCTCTAAGTTTGAGTGGCGTTCATGCAAAATTGCTAGCAGATCCCAAAAAAGTGAAACTGTAAACCTAAACTTCATTGACTGAACTTCTTTTGTAGAATATCAGACGATTTGAAGCATTACCGGTCAGTGTTTTTCCTCACTGAATTTGCATAACTTTTGAGTTCTGTTTTAATTAGAAAAGTATGTCTACTTAATCGGGGCTCAGTTCGCTTAGAAAACACAGGAAATGAAAATAATCACCATTTCTTGATTAAGGAAGAATCAGTGTATACATTTAAAGTTGAGAACATTTCACAGCGATGTAAACGTCTGTGTAGCAAGGAGATGGAAAGTGTAAAATTTCGAATTATGGCGAAGTAAAAATGTGAGCTTTCGGTACGATGACCGTTTTTCGTGAATTTCTGCCGTTATATTGGATATTTCAAAAAACTAACTTGGTTTCTTTCAGTTGCTTACCTAGGCGTTCAAACTGGTAAAGTATGAGCGAAATCAATTTTTCGACCGTGGCCACGATCTCTTTGATTTTTAGTGGCAATTACTCTTAAATTTGCTGGTACCCATTTTGTAGACCTGAGTGAGAGAGGCACTACGAGAGTAAAGTGCATTGCTCAAATACACTACTGAATGTTTCCAGTTCGGCCTCGATTCCCGACTGCTCAATCTGGAGCCCAGCTCAGTAACCTGCTCTCGATGATATGTACTTTGGGAGTGAAAATACTACTTTGTTATTGCTCCCACATTGTAAGGCCTAGTGTTTTTAAGCGCCTGCAATCAATTTTTAACAAATAATTGTAGCTTTTACATTTTGTTTAGAGTTTGAATCCTCTCCTATCCTTGGATTGCATTATAGCACTGACTTACTTGCAATCGTCAAAATGGAAGGCCCCTGGTTTCAAAAAACTAGGAAAGGGTGTTGGCTTTGTGTCAAATTTATGTTTTTCCTTCCAGAATGACAACTAAGTGGTACTTTTTGAAAAGTGTTATCATATTCAAGCTGTAAAATCATGTCTTTTTGTAGATAATCCATCGAGACTTGGCAGCTCGTAATGTTCTTCTTGATGACAACTTTGTTTGCAAAGTTACCGACTTTGGTCTGGCTTATCAAAATTTCAAGTATGGCCATGGCAATGCTAAAAAGGTATCTCACTTTACAATTTTACTCACCCAAGACAAAATTAACACACCAATACTGGCCGCAAGGGAATCACTCAGGGTGGCTCAAAACTGTTTCCAAGGTTTTTCGGCATTTTCTTTATTGAATCAATACTATCACTCTTTTTACTTGACAGTATAATTTTGACATCAACCAAAGTCTCAATCATTATTAAACAAGTTATTAANTAAATGTTCATTTAGCTAAACAAAATTCAAATGAAACATTCCAGTGTCAACTTACAAGCTTTACACTGTTGGTATTTACAGGGCTGTATACCAATCAAATGGACGGCACCCGAAATTCTCTCAGGAAGTTTTGCCGAGCTCTCAACCCAGAGTGATGTGTATGTACAATACAAATTCTTTCGGTTGTACCTCAGTTAAGGCTCTGTTAAACAAAGCCATTTTTCTTGTAACTTAATTATCTTGAAGTTTTGTGGCGCCGTTGCAGAACAAGTTGCACAAGACATTGCCTAGTTTTACATTTACTGAATATATTGAACAATGTGGCAAAAACTAGAACTTGATTCTACTTTGTCCAGGGGTTTTTGCAACAAAGACTTTGAGAGACATGTTCATTTTGGGAATTATACACTGTTAAGCAATTTTTCGTGCAACTTGTATCGGAACAAGAATTATTAGTCAGACAAGTTGTGCGAAGAATTGCCTAATGTAACAGTGTTATTAATCTCATTGTTTTTGTCAAAAGGAAAGCTAAAACAAGTGGCTACTTTCAGAAATACTGCTTTTTTTGCTGGTCATTGTTGCAACACATTCTGGCTCGGTTCTCAAGGATTTGACAGACATACTAGATGAGATAGTCAACTACCAATACAATAAGCATTAAAGTTAATTATTATTCAGTTGTAAAAAGACTCATGGCCAAATTTCAAATTAGTCGACTAGGCATGTCATCATGTGGTTTCCTATGAACGCAATAAATCTTGCAGAATTTGGAAAGAGGAGGAGAAAAGAAAACCATGATTTTGTAATAATTTTGCATTTTGTTCTACGATCTGTAGAATTCTAGTATCCTCTCTCACCTGATCTTTAATGATATTTAAAGCAGTAATTATCTTTCTATTGCATGCCTTATAGTTTTTCCTTGAAAATGGTACATTAGTTTAACCCAACTGTGATCTATTTTACTAATTTACAGGTGGTCTTATGGAATTGTCTTGTATGAGATCTTCACCATCGGTAAGTTTCAACATTTCATGAGTAATGACAGCAATGAAAAACAAAACAAAGCAGAACAAAAACTATTGTTATTGTTATTATTATTATTACTCATATTATTATTATTATTATTATTATTATTACTGTTAGTAATAGTAATTGGACCGAGTGGAGTACAATTCGTATAGGAAATCGATTTGTTCGAGAAACAATAAGGGATTTATTGTACGCGTGAACAAATCGGACTTTTTAGTAATTTCCACAAGTGGCTGCCGCAGCCACGAGTGGAAATTAGACAAAAGTCCGATGTGTTCACAAGTACAATTTTCCCTTATTGTTTCGAGGACAAAGATCGATTTCCTTTTAATAATACGGCAACCGTAAATGCGTCTTTTCGTTATAGAGGGTTGCTAAAATGAAGCCACGCTTTGATTAAATATTATAGTTTTGCAATTTTGTTTTCTCAACACTTTTCGCCGAAGTTGTCCGTAAAATAATTTCTTTCGCAAAAGAGCCACAAAGACGAGCATGTCCCAAGTTTGCATTATGAAGTTGAATTTTATTGGCTTGCGAGCTGTCAAAACCCTGAACGCGTGAGCGACTTTTTGATAAATGACCTACGGGAAAGCAAGTGCGCGTCGAAACGGTGAAAGCGTTTTTTTACCGACAAAACTCGCATGAAATCGTATTTTTGGTGTTTTTACCTACCGCTGCTTCTTCACAAGAAGCTTTTTGTTTCTCTGAGACGGAAAACGTGAAGTTTTGTCCGACTCCATTGCTCAAATGGGACCGATACAATTAAAATTTCATTGTTCAGCTATCGATGCAATTTGGGATAGATTGGTCCGCCTCCAACCAATCAGAAGCGAATATTTATGGTGGCAGTATTATTAAGGGAGTAATCGCGTGAGTAATTTCAAAATCAGACGAGCGTGAAGCGCGAGGCCGATTTGAAATTACGAGCATGATTACTCCCTGAATTGTACAACATAAGGTCCAATTACTAATTAATCGTATCTATAACAAATTTCGGGAGAAAAAATGTCTTTTGAGAACTTCGTTTGAGCGAAAACCTCTGTAGCGCTTTTCATAAGCTTTGAAAACTGTAGAAAACAGTGCAAAGGAAGCTATTAAAGCGTATTTAAACATTTTTTTTATCATTTACTCTTTGACTTGATAATGACGTTAGCAAAACGTCGAAACGTCGTCAACAAACTTTTAATATGCTTTTACGAAATGTTTTATCGCAATTTTTTATCGCTCAATTATCATTAATATCATTATTACATTGATGGATAGATTGATCTAATACGAAAGAGTTTTTTTCTTTAAATCAACTTGTAACAAAGTTACAACACACCTGTATTCCTTAACAGGAGGAATTCCATACCCAGGATGGTCAGAAGGCAGAGTGGTTCAAGCAGTCCTGGATGGATATCAAATGCCAAAACCTGACCACATTGACGACCAGTTGTAAGTTTATTTACAACTTATACATTTTTTTTTACAATTTTTACCTTAAGTTACATTAAAGTGCGTTCCAAATGTTAAATGCGTTAATGAGAACTTTTTTGTGATATCTGAGAATCTGACTGGTTTTGATTATAATGTTATGTGGCAGAAACAACTCAAAGCTGATTTTCTTTTGACGTAGTAAATGCTTCTTGAAAATTAATTTATTAAAACATGTATTAAATAAGACTTGTAATGTTTACAAATTTTAATGTGTATATTTTTAGGTATGATGTAATGACAAGGTGCTGGAACTTAAACCCTGAATTCCGTCCTCCTTTTGAAAACCTACGAAAAAGAATGGATACATACCTTCGTGAGGAGGTTTGTAGTGATGAGACAATTAATAATCGAGGTTAACAGAATTCCATGGACTTGTTTAAAGACCATGACGATTATAATTATAGAATTACGCAGCTGTATTCTCTAACTAAAAAAAAAAATCGAAAAAACTAAAAGTTCGATTGTCTGCCTCTCTGTCTGTCTATCATATTTGAAGGCAAGAATTTACCTACTGCAAACATGCCGCATCTTATCCAGAGAACTTTTTAATCACTATGTCCCATCCTGGTTATTCTGTGTTAATACTTACTATTTTAAACTTTTTATAATACTAATTTCTCTTTATTATTCCTTGCAGACATACACGGAACTGCTCAACATGGGGAAATATGACAGCGTGCAATACTCCAAGGTTGAAGATCTTGGAGGTCAAGATGAACCAGCAACTGAGCAAGTCAAGACAAGCACCACTGGGAAGAAATTGGGAAAGTGGTCAAGTGTTCGTTAAATGAAAGTAAATATATGACATAATGGTTGCTATTATGTTTTGAAGCACAGCAATATAGTGTAGTGTGTGTTTTGTTCGGGATGAAATAGTATTTTTATTTACCAAACTGTAACCTTGAAAAACCGTCACCAAGTAAGATATAATGATTTCATTTGTAAGCTTTTTGTGAAAAATTAATTTTAAATCTGGCATTTTCCTTTTACGCAGTAAAGAAAATATTTGTTACAAATGTTACTGGATAGTAGTCAAACAAATCTGAAGCAGACCTTGTGAAATTGTTCTTTGTTTTGGAGCTACTTAGTTCTGTAATCGCTTTAAACCTTTTGCTTTTTTTTTTTGTTGTTGTGGTTATTGAGTTGTACAAATTTCTGCACCGAAAATGAGACGAAATTTGCAATGATTTCAGCTTGTTTGGAAATGAAGCAGCTCAAGTTAGTCAG